TGATACGGTCCCCTGAGAGCACCCCTGACGCAAGTCGATCCAGTATCTCAACCGAGCTAACCCTGTGCACGTACGTTCCAGCCGTCGTCTCCAGAGACTCAAGCCACAGCACGGTTTGCTGCCTGAAGGTCAGAGGACTATGAATCAAACACCGCCTGTCACCGCGCCAGCACCAGCGCACCTGGTTATCAACCAGCCCAAGACGCCGAAGACATTTCACGGAGCTGCTTTTGAAGATGCCGACGACTGGCTCGAGCATTTCAACCGGGTCGCCGTCATCAACGATTGGACCCCAGAGCGAAAGCTACTCTATGTGTACTGCTTCCTGGAGGACTCCGCGAAAACGTGGTTTGAGAACCATGAAGCCGTGCTTACGTCATGGGATGAGTTTCAACGGCAGTTCCTCAAGGCATTTGCCCGAGAGGACAGGAAAGAGACAGTGGAGTGTGCTGTAGAGGCAAGGGTTCAAGGCCCTAACGAAAGGGTGACGACCTACGTAGAGGACATGGATCGGCTTTTCATGCTTGCGGAGCCCTCTATGTCCGAATCCAAGAAAGTTCGCCACCTAATGCGTGGTGTAAAAGAAGAGATTTTTGCCGGCCTGATTCGAAACCCGCCTGCGACACTTGCGGAGTTCCATGAGGAAGTCACTGCCATGGAGAGGGCCCTTCAACAGCGTGCCAGGCAGTATAACCGTGGTGTAAACCCAAGTGAGGTCACTTCTGTCACTCTCAGCAATGACATCCGCGCGTTGCGAGAGCTTATCAGAGCTCTCATTAAGGAAGAGCTACAAAAGATGCAGGTGACTGCTTCACCTGCAGAGCAGCTCTCCATTGCGGAGATGGTACGCGCCGAGCTACGGCAAGCCGTTCACGCTCCCCAACCATCCGAGGCGCCACAACAGAGGCACTGCGTCGAAATGAGCTACGCGGAAGCAGTGCGACGTCCTCCATCGTGCAGTTCAACCAGCGTATTTTACCCCAATGAGTGACACGCTCAGCAAATGGAGGTAGGCTTCCGCTCGTGCAGCTCACCGTTGATCGCCGAAGCAAGACCGAGAAAGATTGACATCTGGCGTACACCCGACCACAGGCCCGTTTGTTTCCACTGCGGGGAAGCCAGACACGTCTACTGAACATGTCCATACCGTCGTGTGGGTCTCCGTGGATTTTCGCCTAATGCCCCTCGTCCACGACCTGGCGAGCGACCACAGGAAATAGAGAGTTTCATCTAGAATCGTCACAGTATTGAACATTGGTCACAAGAGCCTCGCTCGTCGTCGCCTGGTCGCTACAGGTCACCGAGCCCAGCCTATTCACGCGGTACTCCAAGACGCCGTTCACCCAGTCCTGCAAGTCGGGAAAACTGAGTTCAGCGACCTTCGGAGGTGAGGCCGCTGACGCTGACTCTACGGAAGATCCTCCACTACGACGACAGCGACAGCAGCAAAAAGATGTACAGACGCAGTCAAACGTGATCCGAAGAGTGGTGACATCAAACATTGTGGTAACTGTGGACGACGAAGAAGTAATGGCGCTAATTGACACTGGAGCAGACACTTCCGTTATGAGCATGGGTCTTGCCAGCAGACTGAAGAAGGTTTCTACCCAGTGGGCTGGGTCGCAGATACGTACGGCAGGAGGCCATCTTCTTACTCCGGTGGGGCGGTGCACCGCGCCTGTCAGTATTCACCGATTTACGTATCTCGGAGGTTTTGTAATACTGCCGAGTTGCTCGAGGGACCTAATTCTCGGACTGGATTTTCTGCGTGATAATGGAGCCATGATTGATTTGCAACAGTCGCAAGTGACGTTTTCTACGGCACACGCTTTAACGCGCAACTCTCACGGCAGTTACGTCAATGCTTTGAGAATTGTTGACGATGACGTCACGTTACCGCCGAAGAGTAGCGTGTTCACCTTGGTAGCCTGCGACGTTTTTGACGAATTCAACGACTATGGAGGTATTGCTGAGGCAAATATCCCGCTGCTGCTCAAACAAAACATATGCATAGCCCGATGCCTTGTTCGGTTAGAGAATAAATGCTCTCGAGTTCTGATGACCAACTTCAGCAATGAGTTTCAGCACGTTCCTAGAGGGACTACTGTCCCTTCCCTCAGTGAAATCGCCGACTTTTTCGATATCGGCACAATGGATACGACTTCACCCATGCAAGAGCTTGTGCTGACCTGGTAAGCCGCATTCACGTTAATCTAGACTTGCCAAATTCACGAAAAGAGCGGCTGCTAAACCTTGTGAGGGAATTCTCGGACTGCTTCTCCACAGCATCGAAAGTTCAGCGTACCACCGCTACAAAACACCGCATTGTTACCGAGGAGTCGGCGCGGCCTCTTCGCCAATATCCATACCGTGTGTCCCCGAACGAAAGAGAGGTGATTAAGCGTCAAGTTCAAGAAATGCTGAATGATGACGTCATCCAACCCTCGACAAGTAAAAAAGACAACACACTACGCTTCTGCGTCGACTATCGACGGCTTAACAAAGTCACGAAACGCGGCGTTTACACCCTGCCACGGATTTATGACGCCTTAGACCGTCTACGCCACGCCCAGTTCTTCACATCACTAGATCTTAATTCAGGGTACTGGCAAATTGAAGTTGACGAGGGCGACCGTGAAAAAACCGCGTTCGTGACGCCTGACGGGCTCTACGAATTTAAAGTGCTGCCTTTCGGTCTCTGTTCCGCTCCCGCCACGTTTCAATGCATGATGGATACTGTACTAGCTGGACTAAAGTGGCAGATGTGTCTTGTATACTTGGATGATGTCGTTGTGTTTTCAATCACAATTGACGAGCATCTTTCAGGGCTAAAAAGTGTCCTCACTGCAATAAGGAGAGCGAACCTTACCATCAAGCCCGAAAAGTGCTACTTCGGCTATCAGGAACTCAAGTTTCTCGGCCAGGTGGTTAGCCCGGGGGGTGTTCGACCAGATCCGGAGAAGTTGGCTGCCGTTGCCGATTTCCCTCGTCCTGGAGACAAAAAGGCTGTTCAGCGATTCCTCGGACTCTGTGCATACTACCGCCATTTTGTCGAAGGATTTTCGAAAATTGCGGAACCTCTTACAAGACTGACACTGCCAGGTGTACCTTTCGTATGGACGGAAGAACAACAACAAGCCTTCGTAGAGCTGCGCAATCGACTGCAGACAGCTCCAGTGCTGGCACATTTCGACGACACTGCCGACACTGAGATCCACACAGATGCCAGCAACGTGGGAATCGGAGCCATTCTAGTTCAATGGCAGAACGGCGCAGAGCGTGTGATCGCTTACGCGAGCCGCAGTCTCACAAAAGCAGAGGCTTATTACTCTACCACCGAAAAAGAGTGCCTAGCAGTCGTTTGGGCCATTAGCAAGTTTCGACCCTACCTATACGGCCGGCCATTTTGAGCGGTCAGTGACCACCATTCGCTCTGTTGGCTTGCCAATCTACGGGATCCATCAGGCCACCTCTATCATCTCAGTCAATCGACCGGGACGGTCTCTCTTGAAAGGGGGGAATGGACGCAAGGTAGGCTGGCAACTATAGTAGCCAGCTTCTGAAGAGGACAACGAAGTAGTTCTGTGTGCGCGTGCTCTGGTGTTCGCGTTTCTGGCTCTTGGGTTGCGAAAGTAAACGCCCTATTTTGTACCTGCGTGCCTGTTTCTTTGTGACAATATAGTCTCTAGCAAAGCCATTTCGCCTCATGGTATTGCGGCTCAGTATGCCGCTGCTACGGTGTTTTGATAAGGTATCCCAAAGGCACAGTTTCCGTTCTTTAAAGTGGTATAGATGTTCTCTGACTGGCATGCGCTGACGACGCCGCTGATGACGCTGATCAAAACCGCCACGGCGCACAACTTTACAAGAGCGATGTAGAATGTGGGGAGTGTCGAAATCGCCACGCGAATACATGGGAGGAGTGAGGGCCATTGCGTTCGACTCCCGCTCCGCGGCGCTGTGGTGCCGCACCCGTGGACATAAGGTGCGTGGTCACTGAACAAAAAATCGGCAGATCCCACGTTCAGTGGGAATTTGTGATATGCAAAGCACGAATGAGGAAGGTGATATGTCACTTTCAAATCTGCACATCATTAGGAGGTGGACGTAAGTTATGCCGTACATGAATTCCGTATCATGATTATCATGATCAGACCTGTTCTTTACCGTCGTCGTCTATTCATGTCACGTGATACCAAATTTTGTATATGTAAAGCGACGAAATGACCACCAGTGCAGTATGAGCGTACCATGTCGTCATGTTTCACATGACACGAAGGTCTTGATTATCATGTTCCAACATGTCATTCACTTTCGTCGTTCGTTCGCGTCACGTACACCTTTGGTACATCTAAAGCTAGCGAAATTGCCCTGAGAGTATCATGAGCGTGACATGTAGTCATGACATATGTCGGGGTTTTCACGTTAGAGTAAGTCACTTATGGTCGCCATGCAGTCCCGTCATACATGCAAGTTTTACAACACATGTCAAAGAAACCACCGCAAGAGTACAAAGACCATGGAATGTAAATCATGGCATTCATTGCATACATGTCACGATTTGCATGCTATGGTTAGTCACGTATTCTCTTCATACAGTCATGTTATACCATACAAAATTTGGTATCGATTCTGTTATCGAAACGGCCAAGACAACTAAATGGCACAAGTAGGTAGCTAGCTTGCTAGGTGCTAGATGGATAGATAGATAGATAGATAGATGGATAGATAGATAGATAGATAGATAGATAGATAGATAGATACGCTGAGAGTCACCTAAGTTCGCTAAGAAATGCTTCGCATTTAGGATGCGCTCCCCTTTGGGGAACGCGTCTTAAATGCAGCCAAAAAGAGAATGCAGCCCAAAAGGGAACGCGTCTTAAAAGACACGTTCCCCTTTGGGCTGCACGTTTGGCTACACAGCCTCCCTCGGCGTTCTACTTTTTAGGGATTACGCGTGACTCGCTTCCTAGACACAGAACACAAGAGGTTTCACTTACCTCTACCAGTACGAGTAGCGATATCATGATGTACGTGAATCCGAAGGCTCTGAAAATTGCCCTGAGCAGGTCGGGCTGCTTGCCTTGCTTCATCTTTCTTATCTCCTCGTCCCATTCTCTGTGAAAGATGTGATATTTTTATTCAAAAACACTGCGCCGTTTCTACCACATTTACAAACAGCCAACACAAGTCATGTGAAAACAATGCAACATATTTTGACAACGGGATCAAATGAGACTGCTACATCATTTGCATCTCACGTGCACAAAGTATAATGAAGAAACGACAGGATACGGAAGGTGAAAGCTTGTGATGAAAAAGAGAAAAATCTGTGAAGACTGGTTGTACGCCCGAAATTGCGTTCCCACAAGTGAACTTGTCTTCAAGGCTGAAACTGATTTTTAGCACTATACTCGGTGACAACGTCGCACAGCGAAAGCCTGTTTCTTCCCTACTTTTGCATAGAAGTCTCCCATCAGTTCAGTATACTGTGTTTTTACCTAACTCATTGCAAATTTTACGTCTTCACAGAAGTTTTCAACTGACGCGTCATCATGGCTGAATGTAGGCGCATAAGCCTGTACGACCTTCATCTTGTATATCTTATGGAATTTAGTTACAATAACTACCACCCTTTCAATAATGCTATAGTATTATTGCTAGCTATGTTGCTGTGGATAAAGAACCCCACTCCCAGTTTTCTTCTGTCATCAAGCCTCGATAGCAAAGGACGTGCCCGTTCTGTAGCACTGTTTAGGCCTCATCTGTCCCTCTAACCTCACTGAGTCCTATTACATCACCATTTTTTGCCCTTTAGCTTCTCGAATAGTAAAGCCAGATTTGCCTCACTAAATATGGTTCTAGCGTTACACGTTGCCAAGATCAGGTTCCAAGGGCGGCCTGTCCGGATCCAGAGGTTCTTAGCACCCTCTGCTGCGTTGCTGATCTGACCACCACCTTAGTCGGTTGCTTCGCAGCCACTGTGCACTGAGGGCCGTGAGTTAATTGACGTACGCATGTGGGAGGTAGTGGCCAAATACTGCACCAGGGTGACCAGTCTTTCTCTAGTGAGGGAGTGCGTTACCGGTGGTGGTCACCGGTGAGACACTGCGTTCTTCAGTTCTGAATAAATTGGGATAAACATAAAAAGTACTCCACAAGTGCAGGGTCACCATTTTTTTTCTCATTCATCCAGGCGGTTCAGCTGTTAGTCCCACTGGAGCATTACACGAGGACCAACATTTAAACCAAGTGGGATAAGTGCCAGGAGGTAACAGCTGAACACTCTGGTTGCTCCCGCAGTTAGTCGAAAATTGGTTCGAAATCTGTGGCAGCCCATTTATTCCCCTAAAGGACCAATGTCATACCCCACTTTAGTCCTTTTTGGCTTAGAGTTTATGGTTCCTCAAACTACTACTGTGGAAAACAGACCCATGCAAATGCTCTTCAATGGGCTCTGTGGTACTACCTGTATAATAACCAGCATTTTTATGTACTGTACACGCAATCAACTAATTGATTGATTGATTGATTGATCGATCGATCGATTGATCGATTGATTGATTGATTGATTGATTGATTGAACCATCCGGCCAAAGTGTTGCAGAAAGTCAGCGACAATATGGTGAACTTGACATTAGCGGCCATGAATACCCAATTGAACTTTTCGTCAGTGTGAGTGAACGATGCCCGTATGTTCGTGTCATCGTGTTATTGGCAATTGGAAAGTTCCGCAAAGGCAGTCTGCTGTTCGTCAGCCCAGCAAAGTGGTGTGTCATCGCACGTGAGGCGTAATAGTGGCTCCAAAATGTTGGAGAAATTTTCAATAAAGCACTGGTGATACGCGCACAGACCCAGACATCGTCGAAGACCTTTCTTGTCAGTTGGAGCTGGAAAAGCGGCGACGGTAGCAGTTTTGTCAGGATAAGGCCCAACACCAACGGCGCTCACCACGTGACGAAGAAACTTTAAGTCTTCGTAGCCGAAATGACATTGCTCAGACTTGAGTGTGAGATCGTTCGATATAAAGGCTTCGAGTACATTCCGAGGCGACGAAGATGCTCGTCAAACGTTTCTGAAAACACGACGACATCATCGAAGTAGACGAGGCAGCTTTTCCCCTTGAGGTCTGCCAGGATGGCGTCCATCATTCGCTGTAATGTGGCTGGAGCGGAACAGAGGCCAAAAAGGAGCACTTTGAATTCATAAAGGCCATCCGGCGTTACAAAAGCGGTCTTTTCCCGGTCACGTTGATTGACCTCTATTTGCCATTAACCCTTCTTCAAGTCGACGGACGAAAAATACTTTGGAGGAGGAGTAATACCACCTCGTGTTCTGTGCCAGCGAACAGTGAGCCAGTTCTCTGCCGGCGAACGAAGAAGACGATGAGCAACCCGTGCCAGCAGAGTCGTCCTTCTTTGTGTCTGAGATTTTGACAGTAGTGTCTCCTTGTACGTTTCTTCGAGCTCCTAGCGCGTAACAATATTGTTACGGTGCATCATCGACAGGAGCAAGCGTAGCACTTAGTGAAGATGAAGAAGACGCCTGTGCGTTAGGCGCTTGCACGAGAGGCAACTCAGACATCTTGTTCGGCTGCCGACTCTCGGTGGACGCTGTCCTGTAAGCCAAGACCTCGCTCCGTCACATTTGGTGGAAGTGCTGTGCAACCGCCTCGCAACGGAACTTCGCAGCGGCCGACGTTTGAAGGGTCATTCCACAACGATGACGGAGAGTACGGCGTCTGCATCTGCTCCTGGTGTTCCTGCGGCCGGAGATGATGCGGTAACTACATCTCCTTCTGCGACCACAACCTTTGTGCTCGAACCCCCGCGGGATCCTGGCACGTTCAGCGGTTCCGGCGATCCAGATGAAGTTGACGTTGAGGATTGGCTGGCAGAGTACGAACGTGTGAGTACTCGATACCGATGGGGCCCGACTCTTATGCTGGAAAACCTGTTATTCTATCTTAGGGGAACCGCCAAATTGTGGTATGAGAACCATGAAACAGAACTTGTGAGTTGGGCAGTGTGCAGGGAGAAAATGCTAGACCTGTTCGGAAAGCCGATTGGAAGAAAAATGGCCGCGAACAAAAATGCTCGCGTCTCGGGCGCAGACCTCGACCGAGTCTTACGTCTCCTATATAGAAGATGTGTTGTCGTTGTGTCGCAAAGCCAATGTCGATATGGCGGAGGCTGACAAGGTCGGGCATATTCTTAAGGGGATTGCGGATGACGCATTCAACCTCCTCATCTGCAAAAATTTTTCTACAGTGGACGCCATTATAAAAGAATGTCGGCGCTTTGAGCAAGCAAAGAGCCGGCGGATTAACAGCGTGTTCACCCGCCTTCCGAATACGGCTGCAACATCATCTTGCGAAGACCGTGCAAGAACACAGCCACCACCTCTAGATTCATCGGATCAGGTGACCCGAATTGTACGGCGCGAACTTGAAGCCATTGCCTCTGCTCCGGCTCACACCGCTGCAAGTGACACCACCCCACTCACTGCTAACATGGTTCAAGCCATCGTCCGCCAAGAACACGCCAGCATAGGTATTCCCTCGGTGTGCGCTTTGCCCAGCCCGCAGCGAGCTTCATGGCGTCCACCCTCGTCCTATCGCGAGCAGCAGTTCACGGCCCGATCTCGCGACCCTGCGGCGTGGAGAACCGTCGACAATCGACCAATTTGTTTTCATTGCCACCGTATCGGTCATGTCGTCCGTTACTGCAATTACCGCTGGTCCTCGCCACCTCGGACTTCATCTCAACCTCACTACCGACAGGACAGCACCCGCTTCGCGTCTGCCGTGCAGCCTTCTCCGCAAAACAACTACAGAAGGTTCAACAGCCGATCTCCGTCACCGCATGGTCATCAGTCGCGTTCGCCTCCAGGACGTCGCCAGTCGTCTCGCTTACCGCAGACTCGCAGGCCGTCATCTCCATTCAACCCCGCTCCTGCCTACCCGGAAAACTAAACGGTGCAGCGCCCGGAGGTGACGCTGCATCTTCGACTCCCTCCACAAATCCTCTCTTGACGCTTCCGACGAGACAAAATTTGTTAGACATTGCCGTTGACGGTGTGCCTATTTCTGCCCTTATAGATACTAGAGCGCACATTTCTGTAATGAGTGCGAACCTTCGCCGACACCTACATAAAGTGCTCACGCCTGCCGCTTCCCACAAACTTCGTGTCGCTGATGGGAGGACCCCTGATGTTCAAGGGATGTGCACGGCCCGTGTGTCCATTGCCGGTCATCCTACATTAGTTCAGTTTGCCGCCATTGAAATGTGTCCTCATGACCTAATACTTGGTTTGGACTTCCTTTCACGTCATTCTGCGCTCATTGATTGTGCCACTGGTGCTCTTCAGCTTGAACTGCCGCAGTTTGCCAATTTTCCAGCAGACTATTCTCCCCGTTTACACTCTCGTCACCACGTTCGCTTGCCTCCGCAAGCTGCTACATATGTCACTTTGTCGTGCTCACGTCATGTGCACGACGGTGACTACCTCGTCACTCCTATAGTCGACGTACTGATGGCCCGAGACGTCGCCCTTGCTCACACTGTTGTCGCCGTCGCTAATAATACAGTGGTTATACCACTGCTCAACGTGAGTCTCTTGACTCAAGTTATTCCGCAAGACATGTCTTTGGCCACCCTATCTCCACTTGACAGCTGCAACGCTACTGGTTTGGACACCGATACTACATCCCCCTGTCTTGGCCGCAATTACACTCTGCCTGCAGATGACATTAACAAGATGATTGCTCCCGACCTCACTGCAGTGCAAGCTGCCAGCCTCCGTAGTCTGCTAACATCATATAGAGACTTTTTCGACTTTGACCACCGCCCTCTCAGCCAAACAACTGCAGTGACTCACCGGATCAACACTGGTAATGCCAGTCCTATACGGCGGCGTCCATATCGCGTATCTCACAAGGAACGCCAAGTAATCCAAAATGAAGTGGATAAAATGATTACTAAAGACGTAATAGAACCCTCATCCAGCCCCTGGGCCTCCCCAGTCGTGCTCGTTCAGAAGAAAGATGGCAGCTGGCGCTTTTGCGCGGACTATCGCCATTTAAACAAAGTGACCCACAAAGATGTCTACCCTTTGCC